CCCCTTCCTCCTTCCTATCTTTATCCTCCCTTACCTACCTACATACTCTACCCTCCCCGCCTTCCTTGTTCTCATCTTCCTCTCCTCTTCCCTTTCTTCCATCTCCTATACCTCCCTTCTCTCTTTCCTTCCCCCCCATCCTCCCTTACTTTCTTCCTTCCATCTCTCCACCCTTCCTTCGGTCCTCCTCTCCACTCTTTCCTTCGGTCCTCCCATCCACTCCTTCCATCTCCTCTCCCCATCTTCTTTCTCCCCATCCTCCCACTATTTCCCAATTCATCCCACATCCTCCCTCTTTCCATCTCCTCCCATTCACTCTCCTCCCCTCCTTCCTTCTCCCCATCATCCCTTCCCTCCCACTTACCCCCTCACCTCTACTCTAATTTTCTTCTACTCCTCATACCTCCCCTTTCTCCCACTCCTCTTCTTCCTCCCTTCCTCCCACTCCCCATAACCCCTCTTCCTCCCTATACCTCTCCTTCCTTTCCTCTCAATCCCCATACCTCTCCTTCTCCCCACTCTTCATACCTCCCCTTCTCCCCATATCACTCCTACCTCCCCTCCTCCCACACCCCATACCTCCCCTTTCTTCTCATACCTTTCCCTCCTCTTCCTCCCCATCCTCCCCCCCCCCCACCCCCGACGCGCCACCCTCGAAGCTCCGCCTCACGTAGATCTTGAGAGACGCGACATGCCTTTGAATTGCAAGCTGCTCGGGCCACGGGGCGGGAAAGGAAGCTGGGGGGTGGGGGTGGGGATGGAGGTTGCTTATTTACATTCTAACTTTTTCGCTGATTTTGTTCGTTGTTCAGTATGTTTTTTTTTTTTTCGTTGGTGATTTTGTTTATGATGTTTTGTATAAAGAGAAAAATCAGTTCGTTCCTGAGGTTGAATGTTTGAGTCGAGTCACTGAAGGGAAGTGTGAAGAACCATTTGTCGCATTCGAAGAGCAAAGCTGCGGATAATAACAGCACTAAAACGCTCCAGGCATAAGAGTAACGATTTTCTCAAGGATAAGTCTTTTTATTTATCTTTATATATCCACACACACACTTGTATGTGCCCTTTTTGTGAGTGTTGCTCACTCACGCGCACACGCACACGCACGCACACGCACACACGCACACGCACACGCACACGCACACCCACACCCACACCCACACCACCACCCACACCCACACCCACACCCACACTCACACCCCCCCCCACACACGAAAACAGATACAGTCAAAAATAGATAGACAAGCAGAGACAGAGAAGCGGAATAAATGAGAGGAAGACGGAGAACAAAGGAAAAAAGAGTAAATAAAGCTATCTAAACTACTATATAGGAAGGTAAGCACAACACGAAGTGATCTTCAGATAATTTTATAAATCGTCTTTCCGTACAATTACATCTCTGGAGTGGCTTTATTTATTTATCTTTATCGTTGTTGTTGTTATTATTATTATTTTGAAAACAGTAACGTCTGAGAATCGATGTCGAAGCCGTGGTTGCCGAGCGCGTCCGGATGCGTGGCTGGACGGCGTTATGGACATTCACGCGCCTGAATTTAGAGCTTGTGACGTCACGAATTGGTACACTACGTGGATACGGGAAATCTGTAATTTTCCGCAAATAACATCAGGCCGGCTTGATATTATTCGTCTATTTTTTCACTTTTTGTTAGATTTTATATTGGGAAAGATATTTTCTTACTTTTATTTATTTGTTTATTGTTATTATTGATTGCATGTCATATGATTTACCTGTGATGATACCAGCAAAAATGAGTTGAACAAATAGAAGGAAAGTTTATTTTACCGGGTCTCTCCGTCTCCCTCTCTCTCCAACCTCAATATGTTTCCGAAAATAAACTTGCTGAAATGGGAGCATGTGCATCGAGGGGAAACATTTCCCTCGCACATATTGAGATTCTAATCATATCTTGAAGAATAAACTTTATTTTTTTCTCGTACGATAACTGTCCGAAAGTCTGTATTTCTTTGGCATCCGAAACAACCTTGGGAGCTAACCTTAATAGCCTTTATCCGGTGGCGGAAACTCGGCTATTTTTTTCTTCTTCTCATCCTTATCCTCTTCCCCCTTCATCGATATCATCCTCATTTTTTTGTCGTCTTTTACTTCTTTCTCCTCTCCTTATCTCCCTCCTCCTCTTTCTCTTCACCCTCCTCCTCTTCTTCTTCTTCTTCATCAAGCTGCTGCTGCTCCTCTGCCTCCTCTTCCTCCTCCTTCCCCTTCCTCCTTCCTCCTCCTCCCTCCTCCTCCTCCTCCTCCTCCTCCTTTCCTCCTCCTCCTCCTCCTCCCTCCTCCTCCTCCTCCTCCTCCTCCTCTTCCTCCTCCTCCCCTCCTCCTCCTCCTTTCCCCCTCCTCCTCCTCCTCCTCCTCCTGCTATTGCTCTTGCTCTCACTCTTTTTTTCGTTCATCCTCCTATACCTTTTTTTTCTACTTTCTCTTCTTATTCCCTCCCTTCTCCTTCATTCTTCGTCTTCCGTGATC